GCTTTTTGATGCTGGTTAGGCATATGAGGACAATGAGCTCCATCATTTTGCATGGTGGCCAATTTTTCACTTTTCAACTCTTTATGAGTTTTTATTATATCAGCCAGATTTACCTGTACATATCTAATGTTTATATGGCTATTTTTCCACTCATTGTTAGTAGATTTTCTTGTTATCTGTATATGTTCCAGATTCATCATGTTTCTGCTGCAAATATTTACACATACATTCATGTTGATTATAGGTTCTTGTCTAAATTGTGTTTCTTTCACATTCTTGTTTGTTGAACAGAGGATTGGATTAGCGCTATGTATCTTTATCAAAGAATAAATAAGTCATGTATTCTATGTCTATCAATTTGATTTTTTGTGTTCATGGACTGCAACATTTTTCAGAACCAAGACTTCCAGCAACCAAGTGGTGAATCTGGTTTGTAGAGAGAGATTGTAATTCTATGACCTTTGTGTGCAAATTCATGTGGCATCTGCAAACTGATGGTGATTCTTTGGTTTTCTTTGATGTTCATGTGGGCCCACATTTTTGCTGACCTTCAGTTTCATCACTAATATTTGCATATAGATACCTTGTTCTGTTCTTCCCCACAAAGGGTTCTTCAGGTGCTAATCTATCTATAGACACAAGATTGAAGACAGCATTTTGGATCTCTCCACTAAAGCAGACCTACTGATAGTTTCTACAGCATTAGTCTCTTCAGGGTTCGATAGTATGGTTGGTGCTGGAGGGATCCTCATTATGCTGTCCTTACTCTCATCATGCTTCCTGTTCTGGAAAGTTCAGTGAATAACAGTCCATGGAATGAAGAGGTAAGATCAATGTTTCAGCATATGCTGCTTTATAGGACTTCATTCTTTCAGCATCAGAAAAGATATGCAGACATATGTCCATGCAACTCAGTGTTTGAGATTCTCGAATCCAATATTGTGCTCTGTGGATGATGCAGCCAGCTTTTATCTGGCCAGCATAGATCTTGCTGCTGGTAGCCATGAGTTAACTGACAGCTCTCTGGCCTGCAGCTGCATCAACTAAGCCTAGAGTGATAGCATTGGTTGGTGCTTACTCATTCCTCACATGTGCAGTTTTTTCTGCTAATCACTCTGCATCTTGCATGCCTGAGAGTAGAACAGTCATTCCAGATCATGGCTTAGCCAGTCTCAACAAGCATGTGTAGCTACAATCTCTATTCTTAGGGATGACATACAAAGAGAATAGGCTTCATTGCTTTGTCAAGATCAACTGTCGCAAATTATGCTTATGCTGATGAGTTACTTTTGGTGTCTTTGACAGACTCTTTTTATAGTCAAGAACTGGGATAGTTTCCAACATGCCATGCTTTTATCCTCAACATTGGAGTATATTTCCCTTCAGCTGTAGGTTTGTGTTTTCTCTAGAATTCTTTTTTATTTTCTCAGTTTTGGAGAAGACTGTGTTAGTTGTGATAGGGCTAGATGCATCAACTTGAGCCAGAACTGTGCAATGTTGTCTAAGCTCATCAATACAATTTGCTTTCTTTTCCAATGCTAATCATGTGATCTTTTGTCATAGTTTGAGTGGAGCAGCAACATGCCTGCAACTTTACAACTCCTATGGTTATATTTACCCACAACAACATGGTTTATTATTTGGTGTCTTTTTTTCTCTCAGAAGAGAGAAACTTTATGCTACAGGCTTGGTGGTGGAACATAGTTCTCATCTGCAGAGAATTGTTCTGATCTTATGTCCTCTCTATCTTGGTCTTATGATCACTTCGATCTTGGTCATTTCAGCAAGATTGAACTTGATTCTTATGCTATAGGGTGAGACAGAGGAGGAGAAAAATGTATCATATTATTGTAAGAAGACAGAGATGCTGAGCTCACAGAACAAGTCAATGTAAGTTATCATTCATGTGTAATTATTTACTTTGCTTAATATCCTTTGGACCTAAAGGCATTGTATGAGATTTCTGAGGTAGAGTCAAGGTGTTGGGTACTATATTATATATGGATCTTTTGTCTCATGGTGGGATAATTGCTTTTGAAGTTTTGGCAATTGTTCAGTCCAGGCATTAACCATTTCCTCCAGGTACAGATATCTATGTGGCTTCATGCAATCTACCTCTGATGATCTCTAGTTTCCTCTGCAGATTTGTCTGGTTCCAGACTCACTGCTTCATCTGTCTAGCAACATGAAGGCACTGTATACTAAAGCAACTGTTGATCTGTCCTCTACTGGCTTGTGGAGCCATCTCAAATTGAATCCTGAAAGCATTCCAGAATTGAGGGTCTGAGACTTGGGCTTGAATTCCACTGGCAAGCCACAAGCTGCCTTTCTCTTGATCTACTGCTTCATATTTAGATCCCTCTATGGCTCTACTTATCTGAAAAACTTGTACCATCATATGTCTGCAAGGCATTAATCTTTGAGGGCACAGTGCTTCATCTCACAATGATTCAGCTAAGAAAGAACCAACTGACTTGTACACAAAATGCTCCCTTCGCTTTTCATGTTTCTCATGATTTTCAGCACTGGGCTCATCTTCATATGGTCTGAGAGGAAAAAATGGAATGCTGTGCTTGAGTCCTTTGATAGTGGAAAAACTACCCAAGGCTGAGAAAGGTTGTGTGAGTGAGCTTGAAACATGAGTTTCTTGGATAGGTGAAAGAGCAGATGACTAGAAAACTGAAGCAGGTGGAGAGCTTATTGAAATATGCATCTATTATTAGGTAGTTTTACAGTAATTACATTATGGTCCTATACACCCTGACAAAGGATGTTTAAAGCTATCTGGATTATACAAGTGAGAACACCATTATATCACAAGTATCTTTTCACATAACATACCACAACTTTTATACAACATTTCAGCATGGGAGAAAAAATAAATCCATTGAATATGAACAGGTGGACACTTTAGAAGGAACAACACTCATAAAGACATCCTGCTGTATAATAGAGAAAATTTACAGGCTGCACAATAATAAAACAGGTATAATGCCACCTCATTGATAGATAACCCAGCAGTCAAAATCACCATTCAAAGCATGCTTTCATGAACTGGCTAGGCCTTCTGCTGACTACAATCTCAAGCAATAGATTCTTGTTCATCACTGGCTTCAACTTTTTAATGATGTGTTTCTTCGACTCATCCTCTATATCTTTCATCACCTGTAGAACCAAGAACCCCTCAAGATTCCTGTAGTTCTTCTGACTCAAGGTTTCAGTGATGAACTCTCAATCAAGGTTATTAAAATCAGTGGCAAATGATATACAGACTGACAAGGTTATTTTGTTGATGGATGAAGATGTGACTTTTCAAAGGATATCAGAGATATGTCGAGTGCAAGAAACTGCAGTACCAAAGTCATTGCTTATAAGGATAAATGAGAATATGATGGTTTCAAGGTTTGTGCTGTACTTGAAGTTTGTGTTGTGAGAGAGTGAAGCTGCTTCTAGTCAACAGAAAAGATGAATATCAGCACAATTTAATCAAGATCATTATAATATGTACCATTATCTGTTATACTGAGAAGGTTCAAAGATATACTCAAATGCTTCAGTGATGGACCAGAAATTGGGATTATTTGTAGAATAAGACTGTCTTCATAGCCAACAGCAAACAGCAACAATAATAAAGAAGCAGAGAGTCTACTGAAGTAAGATGGAGTCATTTCTTCTAGAGATAAGCTTTTCCCACACTGGCTATAGTCCAAACACATAGACTTCAAGAGTCTGCATGATGACAGAATATAGATTACATGATCCAGAGTAGGAAAATAGCATAATTCAAAAGCTAAATGCATCATTCTAGTCAGACTAGATAAAAAAAGGAGAAAATTTGCTCAGTTCTCCTCTGAAATGAGAGAGAAGGTTGTGTTGTTTATATGTAGCTTCCTAAGGTTGAGGAATATGGAAGATGTGGTGATCAAAGGAATCTCTAGGAGCAAAAGATTTGCTAAATTCCAGATCAAGATGATCATGTTAAAGTCATTGTCATCATTCAGTTCTTCAAGGTTCTTGATAATTAAGGTATGGATAGAGCAAAGGAAAGAGCAGCATAGACTGATGATAAGGTCTATGAAGGTTGTGTAATTGATAGAGAAAATAGTGGTAGTTCGAAAAAGATAATATCAGCTGCACTCCAGCCATGTGCTAGAAACCAAGAAATAAGATAATAAAGCTGACCAGCATTCATTATTGAGCTTTGCAAGATCGCCATCATTGATATTGTTGGAGTATGGAAAATGATAAATATTAGCAATAATCATATCTATGATAATCATAGGGAAATCACCTTGAGGCATGACTCATAGTAATATGAAGGATAGTGGTAGCTCAAGAAGCTGAGCTAGCATGATCAAATGTGTTGTAAAGTATTATCTAAGAAAGCCTGCCTTAGGAACATTGTTTACTATCCTGGATCCTCATCACCACTTTAGTGAGTCTAGCAGAACCAAATTCAACTTTATCAAGCTTGAAGACTCATATGCTGACTATCTAACCTGCTTCAACTCCTTTCTATCTCCAGACACCTCCTGAATGCCCTTTCTGGGCTCTGCAATTTGACTTTCCCTTTGTACCCCTCAATCCCAGAGCAGCATCAGCAACAAAGTCATCACTTCTGGAGAAATATATACTCTCTTTTGTGACTTCATTGAAGAGAAACTCAGTGTTTCATTCCTCTTTCTCAAGCATGTCTCCAAGAGTGAGATACATGAGATTGATAAACAGGGAGTTTGAGCCTTTCTCATCAGTATGTCCATATCCAAGCAATTGCCTTCTCAGTGGAAAAAGAATGGCAGTCATACTACTTTGATACAGACTATCAACATCATGTCTTTATCTCAGAATGATATCATAATCTGGCACATCCTTCAATCTTCATTTGATCAAGCTGAACCAGCATCATTGATATCATATAGATTGGGACAGAATGCACATCTGTGCTGTTGAAACACAAGCTGGTCTCATTGATATTACTCGCTGTCTCCATGTCCATCCTGATGGCTGAGCAGACATCCGGTCATCTTTTCACCTATCTTCTCCTCCCTATATATACTGGATTCTCATGTCATATTCATGGACTCTTTGTGCTGACTCAGTTGAGGCAGAATCTCACTAACAAGATAGAAATTGGAATTGTTCATAGAAGCAATGACAGCATTCTTGTCGAATGGAATCAGTTACTCTTTGACAAGTGCCTTCCCAAGGCTTGAGCTGCACTTTTCCCTGTACTTATTAAACAAGATGGGCTCAAAGAGATCTACTGAGCTTGGCTGGCTGCTCAACTGATTGTGGAAACAGATGATAGCACATATTAGCAAGATCTACCTCACAATCTCCTCTCCACTGTTGTATCTTCAGATGCATTGGTCTGGCCACTCATACTGTGTAGCCCTAAGAGCAAAGCTTGGAATACAGAAGTTGCAGCCTTCCAGGATCTCCAGTCTGTCATCATTGCAGGCAATGCAATTGATGTCAAGGCCCTGTAGGCCTTAGTTGATGCAGGACTAAAGATCATACAGCCCTCTGAATATATCATGAAAGCAGATATCAATTATACAGCATTAACTCTGGATATTGCACATGCTGGGTTATTCATAAGTTATTTCTATCTTATACTATCATGTTATTCATCTAGGATTTATACTTTACAGTATCATAGATTTGAGCTGGAACAGCTCAGTGCCTTGGATACTACTGCTTCCCTGGCTATTTTGGAGTATCTTATATCAATGAAACATCTTGCACTCATTCTTGGCCTTCCTATTATTCTATTAGTCAGCAGAAAATATGCTACTCTCTAACTTAATATACCAAACATTCACATCCTATTAGAGAAGGCTGATTTCAATATGTTCCAAGAGTTCAATCATTTAGCTATACCTTTGGACAGGCTTTCGAGCTCAGCCAGAGAGCTCCTGCTTTCACAGGGCACTGATGGCTACAATCTGACTCATCTTTATCCTGAGCATGTTGTGAGTTATCTGTGAATATCTCCATATAATATAGATTTTTTGACTGCCAAGAAATCCTTTGATGAGACCACCATTCTGTGGTTATCAAAGTTCTAAGAATGGTTAGGAGAGTGGAATAGGAAGGAAGAACTTTTGCCAATGGTTTCTCAGTTCCACCTTCTGCCCTCAATGGATGGATCACTAGAACCTGTTAGAGATGGAATCTTCTCCAGAGAAGCTTTGGAGGCATTGGTGCAGTCTGTGCTTCAGTTGCTGCAGATTAAATTTCTACATCTGAAATTCTCAGTGGTTGCTCAGAATGCCCTCAAAGAGTTATCTGGTACTCTGCGATCCCAGACACAGATGTCTACTCACTCCTTGACTGTACATGATTCTCTGCTGGCTCTGGCATAGACAAACAAATAGCTACTATCATCCTGGGCTTCTTAATCTCTGCTATCCTTGATTTCTGCTGTACTGAACATCTCAGTGTTAGCTAAAGGTGCAAGTTGTGATCATTACTGATCTTTCTGATCTTTGTCTCTTTGAGAGGCTTTATCAAACCTGAAAAGACACCCAGATTTTTAGGTATCCCACTGAAGGTTCCAAAGATGAATATGACAAAGGCTGTTGGTTGTATTTCTATAGTGCCACTATTTATGGGGTCACAGTTTTGACATCCTCACTGCTTTCACTTGCTGATGACATCATCTACCTTAACAGGTTAGATATCGACCTTGCCATATTATTCCACATTGATTTGGAAAACAGCATGCCACTTTTTAACATAGACATTATAGCCCTTGCTCTAGAATATTTCAGTGAACAGTCAAAGTTCCTTCAGCATGCATTCCTTAAGGATATGGTTTAGCAACATGATAGCTTGCCTCTCTGTTTGTTGAAGATACTCCAAACAACAAAGTTTATACCTGTCATTGATGGCTCCCTGCAGTCTGTTAAGCCCAAATTCCATGTGATAATCAACATGTGATAAACAGTTTGGTACCTCGCACTTCGAGTATGTCTGACTGAGTTCACTGATGTGATGAGAGTGTTGTGAGGTCAAGATGTTGCAAGTAGCAGAAGCTCGAGATAAGATGGTGAAGTAAAACTTTAGCTTAACACTGAGCTACCACAGTGAAAGCTGTCTACTTAAATACTGTTCTGTTATCGTGCTATAAATAAATGTTCACAAAAGCTGTTGTCTTGCTGTTGTGCTGTTTCCCCTGCTGTTGCCAGTCTCTCCACAAAAGCTATTGTCCTGCTGTATGCTGTTACTGCTGTGCCACAGTTTGAGGACAAAAAGGATATTGTCTCTCTCTTCACAGCACACAACAATGCGATAAGAGAGTGACCAACTGGGTTGCTGAGCTAAGCATTCCCATGGTCCTAAGCACTGGCCTAAGCACTCTGACTAAGTGAAGATAGGGGTCATTTCTGAGGAAAAAGAAAAGAAAATAGGAAAAATCATAATATTACCCCCTCCTTAAGACTATTGTCCTGATGGTTTAGTAATGATAAGTCTCCTGGGTTTTAGGAAGGAAGGTTGGTTGATGTATATCTGGCTAGATATGCATCATTTTGCTTTTTGCAGGTAGCTGATTTGCTGGACCCTTGATTGGCAGGCTTCAAACGAGTTGAAGATGTTCCACATTGCTCTTCACTGTATGTCCCAACCATTTCTGGTTCGTCCATCACAGTGTCATCTTCATCATCCTCTCGAACATGTCCTCTGCTGACTGCAGGTCAACGTATTTTCTCAGAGATAATATTGAACATAACCCTCCTGTTGTCGACCCTATTGATTCATTGTTCATAGTCATGAATTGCTTCTTCGGCGTCCATGTATTTTTCATTGACTCATTGATTTGATTCTGGGCCATAGCCTTTCCAGCTGACCAGATAGTCAACAGTTGTTTTCATGCCTCCTCCTCGTGCTTTGACCTTTCATAATTTGTGGTTTAGCACTTCATCAATTTCATAATGTTCTTCATCATCGATTAGTTCTGGCGAAGGTGGAGGTGGTTGTTCTTGATTTGGAAAGGCTGGTGCAATATATGGTGTTAATAAAGTCTCATTGAAGACATTATAAACTTTCCAAGTTGCTGGGATCTGCAACTTGTATGCAGAATTGCCGATTTTTCTGAGGACTTTGAATGGTCCCATTCGCTTGTCGTCCAACTTCTGTTTTGGCTGAGGGAGATGAAGGTTTGTTGTATCCAGCCAAACTTTGTCGTTAGTTGAATATTAGTGTGCTGGCCGTCGGTGTTTGTCATATTGTTTCTTCATCATGATGGCGGCTTTTTCGAGGGCTGTCCTTGTTTCATCATGGATTTTTGCCATTGTGGCTGCAAAATCCGATGAGGCTGGCGTCGTTATATGAACTTGTTTGGTTTGCACAACTGGTGGATTCCTTCCGTAGTTGATAAAGAATGGTGCTTTCCCTGTTGCTGAATGGATTCTGTTGTTGTGTTGGAATGCTGCTAATGCGAGCCATTCCGTCCAGTCATCTTGGCAGTAGTTGATGAAAAGTCTTAAGTACTTTTCGATTTCTTGGTTGGCCCATTCCGTTTGGCCATCTGTCTGTGGATGATATGCTGTCGATGCATTCCTTTTGATGTTGAGTAGTCGATATAAATCGTCCAAGAATTTGGAGACAAATTGTAGTCCCCTGTCTGAAATTACTACTTGAGGCATGCCATATTTTGCATATACCTCATCACGTAGTATCTTTGTCCATCCCTCAGATGTTAATTCTGTCGAACAGGTGATCAGAATGATCACCTTCAAGAAGCGATCAACTATGACAATGATGGTATCATAACCATCACTTTTGGGGAGTCCAGTTATCATATCCACTGAGATATGGGTCCATGGTGACGAAGGGATCTCATTTGGATGCAGTGGTGCTGCTCGTGGTTGGGTTGAGGACTTGCCTCTCTAACAAGTCTCACAAGCCTTGACATATCGGGTGATATCATGGTCCATTTTTGGCCACCAATACTCCCTCAAGACTAATTCCTTTGTTTTTGCAATTCCAGGATGTCCAGCAGTTGCATGATTGTGGCATGTGGCAATGATGTCACTACGAAGTTTCTGGTCCCTGGAAATATAGATCCGTCCATCATATCGGATTAAGTCCCCTTTCTTTTTCAGTCCCCTCTTGTGATTGAGAGATGGAGCGATCCTTTGGTCCCACTTATGTGGGTCTCTGGTGGTGCTTTTGATGTGTTCATGCATCTGTTCCTCCATTGGCATGATCATGGCACGGAAGTGTTCTGGTCGGAGCAGAACAACTTCTTTATTATCGTTCTCTCCTTGGTCATGGTCGGCCCTTTGGCTGAGCAGGTCAGCCTTCTTGTTCACTGCTCCAGATTTATGGTGTAGCGTATAGTCATATTGTGATAATTCCATAACCCATCGGGCTTGTCTGCGATTGAGCTTTTGTGGGTGTCAGAAATATTGTAGATTTTGATGGTCTGTCCAGATTTCGAAAGTCTGGACTGCTCCGATGAGATAATGCTGCCATTTGGCAAGGGTGAGCATTATGGTGAGGAGTTCCTTATTGTAGATTTCATAGTTGCGTTCTGTAACTGTGAGTGCTTTTGACATGAAAGCAACTGGTTGCCATCTGCCCTCTTGCTCCTGTGATAGTATGGCTCCAATGGCACCCTCACTGGAGTCGGCTTCCACCTTGAACTTTCCATCCTGACTTGGGATGGCTAGGATAATATCCACGGTTAGTCGCTGTTTCAGGTCGTCAAATGCTGCCTGTTGGGAAATTCTCCAAGTCCATGGGGAATTTCCAGTTAATTGTGTCATAGGTCGGACTATTTTGCTGTAGTCCCAAATAAACCATCGGTAGAAGTTTGTAAATCCAAGGAATGATTGTAACTCCTTCTTCTTCATCGGCTCTGGCCATTCGGTTACCCTGGCTGTTTTGATGGGGTCCATCCGAATACTTCCTTTGCTGATAATGACTCTGAGGTATTCAGTTTCCAATACCTCGAATTCACATTTCTCAGCTTTGAGGAAGAGTTTATGTTTTCTCATTAAAGCTAGTATCTGTCATACTAGCTGTCGGTGTTCCTCTTTGGTTTTTGACATGATGAGAATATCATCCAAGTAAATCGTGACCTTTCCAGTGGCAATAAGGTCCTTGAAGATGTCATTCATCATCCATTGGAATGTCACTGGTGAATTGGTGAGCCCGAAGAACATTACTGTTGGTTCGAACAAACCACGGTTTGTCTGAAAAGCAGCCTTCCATTCGTCTCCTTCTTTGATGCACATGTTATTGTACCCCCACCATACATCTAATTTGGTGTAGTATTTGGCGCCTCAGAGTTTATCTATTAGCTCCAAAATTAAGAGAAGCGGGTAATGATTTTTGATCGTCATCTCGTTAAGCTTCCGATAATCTTGTACTGGTCGGAGTTTGCCATCCTTCTTTTTGACAAAAAAGAAGGGAGATGCTATCGGTGATTTTGATGGTTGGATTCTTCTGCTAGACAAATTTTCTTCGAGAAATTTGTCCAGTTCCTATTGCTCATTATTGCTAAGTGGATATGTTTTACAATCCAGATTGGCATTGGCATTGGGGATTAATTCGATGGCATGGTCCCAGGGTTTGGGTTCGGGTAGTTCATCGAAACTGTCTTTTTTGAATAAATCCTGAAAGTCTTGTGTCCATTTGGGCACCATTTCTTCAAATGTCTTTTCCTCCTTCCCCACATTGGCTTTTGCTGCTAGGTCATTGGTATGGTGCATGGCACGAATGCTAATGGCCCTTTCCAAGCCCACAGTGAGGATGGTTTCCCCATCCTCCATCTCTTGATCCCATTGGTCTTTGGGATCTTCATCTGGTAATTCAAATGGAATTTTCCGGCATCGGCATCTTGCGAAGATGATGCGTCTGGTTTTCCAATTAATCAGTGGATTGTGTTGGATCAACCAATCATGACCTAGGAATACTTCTTTGGTTTCTAGGTCAGTTACTGCCAGGTCGATTCGTTCGGAATGGTCTCCGATTGTAAGTCGAAGTTTGATGTATTCAGTGATTGAGCCTGCCTGGTTCTTTGTTCCATCTGCATTGTAGACTGGGATTGGTGCTGCCATAGCACGAGTGGGGAGTTTGTGCTTGTCAATGAAAGCACGATTTATGAAACTCCCAGTACATCCACTGTCTATTAGTGCAGTGACTTTGTGCGTTTTTTTAGAGGTAAGTGTTTCGATCCAGGCCTTGGTTAATAGGTCCTGTCCCAAAACCTTGGTTTGTTGGATGAATTTCCATGGCCCATGTAGCTCATTGAGCCATTCGAGAGCCCTACTTCATTGGGCTTCTCACATTCTCTCGATCATTTTGTCAATTACTTCCTCAGCTCGGCTCCAGTGTACCCAATTCTTGAGTATGGCTTTTGCCGCTGCTTCATCTTTAGCATCTTTGATAGCCTGCCAAGTCCATTCAGTATCAAATGGACTTAGCCAATCGGTGGGGCCCACTGCCCCTGTTCAGCCCGCAGGCGATTGGGTTCGACCTATATGATTAGTAGGGTGAACTGTTGGTGACGACACACCTTTGGGTCTTTTTGTCCTTTTTTGGGTTCCCAGTGGTAACTGGGTGTTTGGGACGGTTTCCTGAGGCGATTCTGATTTTGGAGTAATAAGGTCGGGTATATTCGAATGCGCGCATAATTTAATCATAGGGTATGTCACTACAGAGAAAGAATTATCAGTCTGTTCAGCAGTCTGTGACCTGTTACTCGAGTCCTTGGCCAAGTCAGTGGAATCGCTCACTGCTTGGCCTTGCCTTTTACCTCCTCAGGCTTATCATCTTGCCCGAGGTCTTCTTCCTCCTTCATTAATTCGGCGATCTGCATCCGAATATCTTCTCAGGTGCGCTTGTTCTTCTTCTGGGGGCAGTTTTATGCTATGTGACCCTTCTGGCCACAATTGAAATATTTTCCCCCTTTCTTGAGACGATCCACGTCCATTGGCTGGCCCGTTCTGGTATATGTTGTGCCCATACTGGTTTGCTTCATTCTGAAAGAAGTTGGGGCCAAGCCACCAGGCTTGGCGGATGTGGATGTAGTGGGGACCGAGGGCCTCGAACCCTGTCCCTGCCCCTTGTAGCTATATGCCAAAGTGGTCACCTCTGCCTTCTGCCATTGCTGTTCTTTGTACATTCCAATGATTCAGGTCTTCCACTCATCATAGCCCACTGGGATGTCGTGTCTCAGGTCTGAGATCGTAATGAGATAGTTGGATGGTAGACCCATTTTCATGTATTCTACCATCTGACTGGTGTCAGCAATGTCGTCTTGTACTCCGGCAAGCCTGCCAAGTCGTTCCAATTTGTCGAAGTAGTCTGTGGCCGCTTTGCTGGCCATCTTGTACTCCTTCATCTTCCGCTTATGGACTTCTTGAACCACCGGATCCATAAACTTGTCCCTGATCATTTGTTTGAAGACTGGCCATGCTGGGTATCGATGATGATCCCGTGTAGTAGACCAAAATAATGGGGTGATCAGAACCCACCACACCTTGGCCTTGTCCACCATATGAGTGACAGCAAAGGTCACCTTGTACATGTCGGCAAGGAAGTATGAGGTGAAAACTTGAAAATATTGGTCACAGTCAACCAGGAAGCGGTCAATATTGTCTGATGCTCCTTTAAAAAGACAGGGCTTGGCACAAAGGATAGGTTTTACTTGAAGGATCTGGGTGTCGGCGGTGAGCACCATCATCGGGTTTGGGATCCTGCCATCAGGCGGTTGCACTCATCTGCTTGGGGGTCCTGAGAACGAGTGAAGGGACCCATCATCGGCGATGGGACTCCCTGGCTTGTGTGCTTCTTTTCACACAATTCAGCCATCCTTGACTGTCCACCCCTGAGTGAGTGCCTCAGGGTCATCCTTCTTTTCGTCGGTCGGAACCGATCCACTTGGTTCGGCTTCATCTGCAGGTGGCTGTCCAGCAAACGGCTTTGGTAGGAAGCCGGGAATCTTTCAGGGGTTCGGATATTTTGGCTTTTCCTCAGAAAGCCAAGATACTGTACTGCTCCCAGAAGGGCTTCTTCTCCAGGGTGGTGGGTTACTCGCCAGGAACAGTAAATATTCATCACCTGATAGCACCAGAGGCATCCTTGGTGCTAACGGTGATCTTTCTTTGTTGGGAGTCAGCCTATAGTTTCGCTGACCTTCCCAATCGTTATTCTCACCCCTCCAGTCCTCCCACTCCTCATCCACGAGCCAGGACCACCGATTATTTTCAGAGGGAAGACCTCCCTCCTCTTCTATTTCCCCTTCTTCCCTCAGGCCAATATTAGCCTTGAGAGTCATTGGAGTTTTTCCAGTATGGGATCCCCCAGGTGGGTAGGTCCCAAACTCCTTCGGTCTCGGCATTGTGTCACCATTCCCTTTCTCCTGCCAACCGATCGGCATATTGTTGAAATTCTTTGAAGAAGTCCCGATTGAGGAAGAGAGTAGTGATCTTCTTGTGCAAGAACCCATGGAGGGCTCGATTGCTGATCTGAAATATGGCCGGGGGTGGTCTTCTTGCTTTGATGGTCTAGTCGAAGGACTCATCATCTGCCAGGGAGCCACTACTTTCTGACTCACTGGATAAAGGTCTGTCTAGACCACTTTCTCCTTTGTCTGTGGTGTTGTCCCACTGGTCAACCTCGTAGGGGTTGTCCTTGGGATCCTCATCCCACCTGGTGCCTGTGGGCCATTCTCATCCTCTGGCTGGTTGCAGTTCCTGACTGCTTCCTTTGGTGACTATTGATCAAAGATCGGTACTTCGATCCTGATTGTCCCTGGGTTCGTCCCAGCGATCTGGGGTATAAGGGTCATCTTTGGGATTTTCATCCCATTCAGTGCCCGAGGGCCATCTTCGATGCTCTCAGGCTCTTGGGGCCAGGCCCCATTCTGTGGGTCAGCCAATTCTGGCCAACTGTCAGTGCTCCTCATCGAGCTCACTCCCCCACTGCTGGCCATGCTCGACCTCCTCTTCTTCCACCAGTGTGTCAGTGGAGTCGAGGTTGGAGGTCAGGACTCGTGAGGAACTTGGGATGGGTTCCTCCTTCTCTTGGCAAGAACCTGGTTGGCCCATGCCTTCAGACCCTTGTCCAGGTCTGCATTCGGTAATTCAGGCCTCAGTAGAGAGGCCATTGATGAGTTCTTGGATGATGTCATCCTTGGCTTGATAATCCCTGATAATCCTGGTTGTCAAAGTTTCTAGAAGAATGGTCAGCAATTCAATTGAAGAAGGGGGAACTTCAGAGTTGATAGAGCTGTTGATAGAAGACATATAATGTCTTGTCGGGTTGATTGATAAGAGGTCGGTAAGAAGTGTTCAGTTCTTTTAGCTTTTAGGCTTAAAGAAGGGAAGCTAGAAGTGTTAAGCTAATTGTTAAGCCCAAATTCCATGTGACAATCAACATGTGATAAACAGTTCAGTACTTCGCACTTCGGGTATGTCTGACTGAGTTCACTGATGTGATGAGAGTGTTGTGAGGTCAAGGTGTTGCAAGTAGCAGAAGCTCGAGATAAGATGGTGAAGTAAAACTTTAGCTTAATGCTAAGCTACTACAGTGAAAGCTGTCTACTTAAATACTGTTCTGTTATCATGCTATAAATAAATGTTCACAAAAGCTGTTGTCTTGCTGTTGTGCTGTTTCCCCTGCTGTTGCCAGTCTCTCCACAAAAGCTATTGTCCTGTTGTGTGCTGTTACTGCTGTGCTGCAGTTTGAGGACAAAAAGGATATTGTCTCTCTCTTCACAGCACACAGCAATGTGATAAGAGAGTGACCAACTGGGTTGCTGAGCTAAGCATTCCCATGGTCCTAAGCGCTGGCCTAAGCACTCTGACTAAGTGAAGATAGGGGTTATTTCTGAGGAAAAAGAAAAGAAAATAGGAAAAATCGTAACACAGTCAGTGGAGCATGTAATTGATTCTATAATGCTGGTGATAGCTCTGTATATAAACAGTGATGATTGTATTCTGAAATCAATAGATGACTCAGCAGGCTTAGTTTTAAAGCAGCTAAAGCTCCTAGGGATACTTTAAGGAACTCCGACAATGGAGATCATTCTTAAAAGAATATAGCATATATCTTTGATATGCAATTCTAATCTGATGAATGCCAAAGTGCTATCAATTCACTTGGTTGACCTCTTATTTACATCTGGATTTGACTGCATCCAGTTAGAGATACCTGTGGATGCAAAGTGGCTACTGACTAACCGAGGGATGTTGAGTCATGAAGAATGCTTGGATCATAGTCTGCACCACCCAGAACTGTTTGACAAGGTGTATTCTTTGATTGATGAGACTATAAACATCTCTCATTCTCTCCAGCTGGCACTCGATTGGGATAAACCACTGTCATTTGCCATCTTGACCCAGCAATTTAGCCTGATTATCAGTGCACATGGCATGAATGATGCCTACAAGAAGCTCAGAGTCATAATAAAGGAGCTTAGTCAAAGGATGCTCTCAGAGAAAGATCTTATGACTTTGAAGGGGATCACTGATAATCATGCATGGATTCCAATAAACTCTCATTATATTACTACCACCAGTCATGCAGTTTTCTTCCTTCTGCTTCCCTTAGCAGGATTTCATAAAGTCTCTCTGGCTTTAGCAGACCATCCTGAAATCCATGAGTTTCTGCTCAAGATGAGATATACAGAGAGGTAAGTTTCTACCTACTACAGCTGAGAAAAATGTTAACACTCATTTATAGGTCTTCGATTGATATTCTTGTATCCAAGCTCAATAATCTGCACAAATATTTAGCTAGCCCAGACAAAACACAGATGGTACTGTACATTTCCTCACATCCAGTTCTACCTCAGCTTAATATTTCCTTAGACTCTTTTGATACTGAAAGCTCTTCCACTCAGTCTGACTAAAGAGGAATGTTCAAAGATTCTCATTCCTGACATGTTTGGACAACTTTATCCTGCTAGTGAGATGTACTTCAACAACATAGGTGATCAGGCCTTTATCAAGGCTGAAGACTTAATACTAGCACATCTGCAGTTGAATGAACAGACAGCAAAGCACCTCCATATAAGCAAACTGAGTTTCAAATTCCTTCACTTGAAGAAACTGGCTATTGATATAGGTGAAAAGCTGATGACTACCATTCGAAATGTGTTGAAGCAGTACACTGAGCAGCAAATGCTATCTGAGTTCTTCACAAATGCTTCAGATGCAGGAGCCATAGAGTTTAAGATTTTAGTTGATAATCATCATGCTCTATACAAGCACTTGCTTTCACTTCTTATGGCCCCATTCCAATGCTGCTCCTCCTTGATCATTTACAACAATAGTATGTTCATGCAGATGGATTTTGAAGGTATCTATAAAACTGGAGTGGATGGAAAGGAAGGTGAGACAAGTATGATTGGACAGTTTAGTTTGGGGGCTCTTTCTATGTTTCATTTCATAGAAGTAGATGTTAATCTTGTGTCCTATGAGTATTATTGCTAATGTTCCTTTGTAGCTGGCAATGATTGTCTCTGGTGATAAGGTTCTGTTTCTGGATCTGTCTAAGATGCACCTTTCACTTGATGATTGGGCTTCACTGCTCCTGCCCCTTCAGCAAATGCAGCAGTCTGTATCTTGCAGTTGAGGTTGATATTACCTCTGACTTTGTTTATCAGGATGTGTTGCAGGCAGGTTACTTTCTCGCAGTGGATAATAGGCTAGACTGAGTATGATGGTCAATTGCTTAAAGGCAATTGACTGTTGACTCAGAATAAAACTGTCTATGCTTATATAAGGTTGACATCAGATACTTGTATCATCCTATAACACTTCTCCTCAACACAATACTTCTCAGAGTTCAAGACCCAACAGCCTGATCATATGAGTCATCTTCTCCTTTCCTAAGGCCTTTGTGAAGATGTTCAATATATATATGCCCCTGCTCAACCTTGTCTTGTAACCAGTAGAAGCAGAGGTCAAGATGTTTGACATGACTGTGATGATCAGAATTGCAAGTGACAGAGAGAGCAGACTGGTTGTCAATCAGCAGTGGAGATGGTGACAGATGATGGAAGCCAAATTCTGTGAACAGATTTTGCAGCCACAGAATTTCATGTCCAGCAGAGATGACAGCCATATATTTGGCCTCTGTAGTCAATAAGATTACTATAGATTGTAGCTGGCTCATCCAGCTGACTGCATCTGTGCTCATCTTGACAACATATCCTGAGGTCAAGTGCCCATTATCTGGGTTTCCACCATGATCTGCATCTGTGTATGTTTTGAACAGGTCTGGGTTTGTAGCATCAGGTGAATATGTCAATTTTAAGTCAATTGTTCCCTTTATGTATCTGAGAAGGTGTTTCAGGGCCTCCCAATGCCTCAAACCAGGGTTTTTGCTGAAATATGATAGGACACTAACTGTAAAAGCTATGTCAGGATGAGTGGTGATGGCTAGATATGCTACAGAGCCAAGGATCTGGAGATATGGAATGTGCCACATGGTTTCCCATTTCTCTGGAGTAGCAGGGGACATTGAGTTGGATTGCTTAGTATATGAATCAAGAGGAGTACTGACACTGTTACAGTCAGACATTCCAGTATGTTCTAAGATTTTTTGGATGTATTGTGGTTGAAAGAGTGTGAGTGTTCAGTTTAGATGGTCTCTGTGTATTTCAACACCAAGGAGAAATGAAGTTGGACTTAGATCATGAAGTTTAAAGTGCTTCTTGAGATCATCAACAACATGTCATGCAGACTCCATAGACTTTGTGGCAATTGTTACATCATTGACAAACACTGGAACAATAATCTGAGCATCATCTCTCTTATACACCCATACACTGTGTTCACAGTGCACTCTGTCAAAGCCCATCTTAGTCATAGGGCTGTGGAGCTTTTTGTGCTATTCATGTCCAGCCTGCTTCAGTCTGTAGATGGACTTGAAGAGATGAAGCACCCAGCTCTTATCCTTTATCTCAAATCCCTCTGGTTGTTAAAGGTATACCTCCTTTTTTAGATCACCATTCAGAAATGCTGATGAGATGTCTATACTCCAGAGCTCTAGGTCCTCAAGTGCAGCAAGAGTGAGGACTGTTTGAATAGCTGCTCATTTTGGAGTAGGAGAGAAGATTTCAGTGTAGTCAAAACCTGGCCACTGTGAGTACCCTTTTGCAACATAGCATGTCTTGTAGCATTCAATGGATCCATCAGAGTTATGCTTCACTTTGAAGACTCATTTTCCATCTATAGCCTTTCACCCTGGGGGAGAGCTTCATAAGCTCAAAGATGCCACTCTCCTGCAGTGCATTCAATTCCTGCTGAGCTGCCTCATACCATTTTTCACTTTCCTCTCCTGGCTGAGTCATTACCTCTGCAAGTGTCTTTGGTTCATCATTGGGTGCAGATGCTTGGTTTGCCATCTCTACTGCTGTCTGAAATACAAGCTCAAAAGCTTCTATATATGTAATATAGTCATCATCATGCAGTACAAAGATCATTCCTGTGACAACATCTGTCTCAGTAAGCTCTGGCTCAGCAGTGGTTTCATCAATGGGATCAGAAATGGGTTCATCTGAGTCAGATGAGTTCATCATATTGGTTTCAGAATGTTTATGGTGAAAACCATGTCCAGTGTTTGAAGATAGAATTATAAGACCTTTGGAGTCATATTGTGGCTCGAAGCATACCCAAGGACATGAAGGTGGTGAAGAGGGTGTAGGAGATATCAGAAGACTTGATAGTAGAGTAAGAGATGATCCTGAAGATGTTTGCATATTTGATAGAGTGAATAGAGCTGATGAGGATGGCAATAATGAGAGTTGCTCAGATGGCAGAGATGGCTTATCAGTAGGTATGCTCTCTCCCCCTTGATAAGGCATTGTCACATCAGGTATAGCAGTATCTGTACTGTTATGTCTGTTTGTGGGAGATGTATCATCACTAAGAGAATTTATAATATTTCTATGATTTTCAGGAAATATATGCTCATCAAATACAGCATGGCTGGAGGTGATGAACCACTGTGTAGAGGGGTTCTAGAATAGTCAGCCTTTTACTCTCTCTGGATACCCAACAAAGATACATTTTTGGGTGTGTGACTCTAATATTTGATGTCTCTTTTTTTGTACTAGCACATATGCAAAGCATCCAAACACATGAAAATAGGATATATCTGGTTTTCAGTGATTTGGGTCCTATTCTGTGAAGAGTGTGATGTTTGGAAGAGGATCTGTGGAGATGTGATTTCAGACATGAATGAATACTTAGAGAGCAAGGTTCCAAAATGATAGTGGGAGATGTGACTCATTTAGCATGGCAGTAATGGCCTCTGCAATTGTGCAGTTGGCTCATTCTGCTGTGCCATTCTGGTATGGTTCATCAGGTTCAGTATGTTGCCTTTTGATCCTATGCTCAGCATAGAAGTCAATAAACTCCTTTTCTATATATTCACTGTCTTTGTCTTCCTGAAACTCAATGATTTTGAGTCCTGGATGGGTATTCTCTGCATATGCTTTGAACTGCTTGAAGGCATTAAAGGCATCACTTTTATACTTCAAAGATGTGACAGCCCAAGTGTCAGATGCACTGCAGATGAATGTTATCCAGTAACAATAGCCCTCTGGAGTTGTGACAGGCATTAGACCTTTGATATCACTGTATATTCACTCAAGAAGGTGTTGCTTCCACTTTGAGAGGCCATGAGGAATATTGTGGCAATGCTGTTTGCCAGTGAGGCATAGTATGCAGATAGGATCAGTTGGGGGACCTGACTCTTGCTTCATTCCAGTTACTAGCTGCTTTGTATGTATATGCTGTATAGTATCTATATTTTGATGACAGCAACATCTGTGCCAAAGTGTGTTGTCTATCTGGCAGGTACTTATAGAGCTTGAGTTTGCAATGATAGTGGTCAATTTTGAGAATGAATGTGTGGTAGTATTGACATAGCCAATATTGCTCTCATTTACAGTTGCTGTGAATCCAATCTTTTCACCCTGGCTGAAAGTGACATCTGATCCAGCAATTGAGATCTTAAATCCCTTTTCCCATGTTAGATGATAGAGTGATAAGAGATTACTTTTCAATGCTGGTACATGTAATATGTCAAGAAGTTTCACCACTGAGCCTTTCTCCCTCTGAATCTCTGACTCCAATACTACTGACCCAATCTCTGCTGAATAGATGACTGAATTGTCTGCAAGACAAATGAGAATGACTTGTGGAGCATAGAGTCAGAACCATTATCAGTGAGAGGTCATATGATGAGAAGTGTCTGTATCAGTATTCCAATGAAACACAGCAGGTGATGATAGATCAGTACTTGCTTGGCTAGCAGTCTCCTCCTTTGTTTTGACAGAGTTAGCAGCTTCTGAATCCTTCTTTCCAGCCCCCTTGTGATGATGCTTCTCAGCAGTATGGTCAGCAGCACATTCATGGTCCCGTTTAAGTGAGAGCTTCTTGGTTATACATTCTTCTTCTGTATAATTCTCATGAAGGCACTATCCACATTTTGCAGTGGTATTGATAGCCAGATTTGTGGCTGAATGGAAAGGTGTAGCTTTGAGAGCAATAGAGACTGCTGGATCATCAGCATGCAGCTTCTGATTGTTTTCTTCATTGTGAAATGCAGTGCAGAGTCCTTCAAGAGTAAGTTTATCAGAGAGAAGGAATAGTGATGTGATGAAGTTTCCAAATTCAGGCTGAGGAAGTGTATAAATCAGGGTTATAACGAGAAGCTCTTTTTCTAACTGCTGGAGGCCAAAATGAGCAGGATGCAGAGCACAGATATGACTCATGATTTGAGTGTCCTGACTGGCAAGGTCTGAAAGTGATTCTTCTGTCTCCTTCTTAAGATTGAAGAAGCTGTCATAGGCTACAAATCAAGTCACTATTTTTCTTTGCTGATAGTGTGCCTTTAATGTGTCCCACATCCTCTCTAGATCATCAAGGCAGAGATAGATTGTACTAGCAGCTGATACCTGAGTCTCCTTCTAGTCCTTCTAGTCCTTCTTCTCCTGGTATATTGGCTTCTTGGGGTCTGCAAACTCTGGTTCAGGGTCATGGCCAATGGTGATAAGATACTTGTGGTGAGTTTTGAGTAGGGCCAACATGTTTTCTTTCCACTTGC